ACGCGGGGCTCGAATCCACGAACCGCGAGTTCGTGACCTGAGCCGAAGCCGGACGCTTACCTGACTGAGTCACTCAGGTGCCCCGAGAGTATTTTTTGTAATGTTTATCTGTTTTTGAAAGAGAGACTGAGCAGGTGAGGGGCAGAGAGAGAGAGAGAATCCCAAGCGGGCTCTGTGCTGTCAGCACAGAGGGCTCGAACTCACGAACCCTGAGATCATGGCCTGAGCCGAGATCAAGAGTCGGACACTTAAACCAACTGAGCTACGCAGGCGCCCTGAGGGAGAATCTTATGTGGCCTGATGTGGGGCTGAGCCCCAGTCACAGAGTCGGACGATCAACTGACCAGGCCTCCCAGGCGCCTCTTTATGAGTGGGATGCCCCAGGGGCTCAGGGTCAGCAGTATTTCATTATTGAGCCTCAGTACTTGGCCCCTCAAGTTGGATGCGGTTTCTGCCTATTGAGGGGTAGTCAGCGAAGTGGCAGAGAGCATTTCTCTCCGTGAGGGCTGGTGGTGTGGGAGTGCCTCCCTTCGGCCCTCCGGCCTGCGTCTCAGAGAGCCTGCGGCCAGGAGCCAGGGCCTCGGGGTTTCAGACCTACCTGCCAGGCTGAGAAGGGGCCCGACCTAGGTCCTATTCTGAACGGGGACGGAGCGTGTGCTCTCCCTGTGCAGCGGCCTTGCCTCTCCGGCAAGAAACAAAGCCAAGCAGCTCGATTAGGTGGGTCTTTGGTGAGCACTGTGCCTTATGGACTTGCTCTGGTCCAGAAGCACAGGAAGTGGATTGCCTTGGAACACGGGGGAACGTTCCGGTCCTGAGCATCTTCCTTTCCTGGTTTTACCGGTGGTGAAAACCTGTCTGAGTGGACTCCTTGCAAATGGAGGGGTGTTTTCCTCTCCCTGGCACCGTGCCCCCGGCCTGGGTCCCAGACCGAACGCCAGAGACCAGGAGCTACTTGCCAAAAGTGAAACAGCCTGCAGACACGGTTTCTGTGGCTAGTTACGGGCCGGGGTCCGCTCCTGGCCCCCGGCCGGTCAGTGTGGAAAGGTGACTCGGCTCTGCTCTCCCACCAGGCTGCAGGACCTCACCCTCTACAACCCCGAGAGGACCATCACCGTGAAGGGGGCCATTGAGAACTGCTGCAGGGCCGAGCAGGAGATCATGAAGAAAGTTCGGGAGGCCTACGAGAACGACGTGGCTGCCATGAGTGTGAGTGTTGCGTGCCCCTGCTGACCGCTCTCCGAGCCTGAGCCACGGCAGAAGGGGGTCTCCATGTGGGGTGGGGAGGCCACGTGCTTTTGGACCTCCATTCCTCAGAGTCTTTTAAGTGTAACTAATTGAGATTCTTTATCGGATTCCTGGGGCGGGTCTCCTCTTGGGCTTCAAGGTCCAAGTGATCTTCCTGTACAATTGGTGTTGGCGTGTAGTTCGGTGAGGAGAAGGGTCCGTTATTTTAATCTGCTTAAAAAAATTTTTTTTAGTATTTATTTTTGAGAGAGAGAGGGAAACAGAGCACGAGAGGGGGAGGAGGGGCAGCGAGAGAGAGGGAGTCACAGAATCCGAAGCAGGCTCCAGGCTCCGAGCTGTCGGCACAGCCCAGTATGGGGTTCGAACCCACGGACTTACAA